TAGATATATCAATATATCTATATTATATATATAGATATATCGCAGATAGACTTAGCTGGGGATTGAACCCAAGGTCTTGTGAATTCTAGGCAAGTACTCAAGCCCTGAGCTACAGCCCGGCACTGTATATGCATTTTAGTAAAATATAAATCAGATAGGGAATTATTAAACTATTTGAACAATTCAATCACACTGAATTTAAGATTACTTAGTAGTGTGAGTTTCATACTTTATTTGCGGTGCTGGAGCTTGAACTCAGGGCCTTCACCTTGAACACTCTACCAGCCTTTTTATTTATTTATTTTTTTGTGATGGGATTTTTCAAGATAGGGTCTAGCAAACTACTTGCCCAGGCTGGCTTCGAACTGTGATCCTCCTGTTCTCTGCTTCCTGAGTAGCTAGGATTACAGGCATGAGCCACTGGCACCTGGCTCTTGTTTCATACTTAATCTGAAGTTATTTCTAGAAAGAATTCAACATAGATTCTACATTTTCTTTTACTTGCTTCGATAACTTACCATCATTCCTGACTGAACACTGATACAGTCTAAGGAGAAGTGACAATCATTTTAAAAGAACAGAATACATTAAGTCTTACAGCTGTCAGACAGTTGACTCTCCTGTGTTCATTTTTTCTTTGCCCTTGTCCAACAGGAGAATATATATATATATTTTTTTTGGTTTTTTTTCTTTTTTTAATTAAAATATATTAAAGGTTAAATAAAACATGGCAACAAGTGTCAGACTATTAGGAACTAAGAAAGGGGATCAACTAAATAAACTAAGATAGTTTTATGTCTTCCTTGCGGTTATGTAACACTTTCCTTTCTAAAATTTCACATGGCAAGTAAGAAAAAAAGAAGGTATAACTGCCCACTGGGGAGGATGGGGGAACAGATCTCTTATTTAAAGATCCAGGATGGAGGTATGGGGCTGAGGGAGAGAAATCAAATCACAATCTTAAGTTTTTACCATCTTGTTAAAAACTTTCAAGAAACAATACAAATGAGGGATAGTAGATACACAGCCTCTATTCTATGAATAGTCCACTGGGATCATGAACACTTGAACAAATGGGATGGGAAGGACGTTAGGCCTGAGATAAGAGTGGTAATCTCTTCCCACTCTAGTGCCCTAGGAAGTGAAGAAGGGACCCTGCCTGCTAGCACCACATTGGAAGAGCTAGGAGAATATTTTTAACTTGCAGATAAATGATAAAACTTAGTTCTTTTATGTCTTTTGTTGCTTTTGCTCTAATGAGTGTTTTTTTTTCTGATCTCAGAACTGGTCACACCAGGTCACTACTATCTATCTTGCATTCCATTCTGAGACACACTTTATGAGAATCTGACCAAATCAGTAAGAGTTTGGGTGGGAAAGTGAGGAGACTTGAAGCCCTGTAAGAAACGGTTGAAAGGCTGGTAAGTGGCTCGAGTGGTGGAGCACCTGCCTAGCAACTGGGAGGCCCTGAGTTCAAACCCCTGAACCACCCAAAAAAGAAAAAAAAAAAAAAAAAGAGCAAAGATTGAAGAACATGAAGATTTTGATCTGGGGATTTCCAAAAAGGGGTGATCAAAAGAAGAGTCAGAGTGACTAGGGTTCTTCAGTGTGGCCTCAAGGGAGGATTTTAGAACAGAGTGTTTCTGGGACTTGGAACTGCCTCCAGCAGTGTTTTCTAGCTCTGTATGTTGGTGAGCAGAGGGTGCTGGAATCCGAGGCAGTACGCAAACCATGGTGGTTGCAGAGTTAAACTTAAGTGCAGATTCCAAGCTTAAGACATTTTCTGTATTTACCTGCTAAATCTGTGCATGTCACCATACCTTCCTTTTCTCCAGTTAATTTAAATTTCTCTGTGTTTCCTTTATGTATGACACGCCTTTCTTTATTGTTGCTTAAAATGCAAGTCAATTCCTTATATTTGTCTTAAATTGGAGAGCAGTTTGTGCCAGTGTCCTTCACAGACTGTAAAAAATGCCTTTATTATGAAGCCACAGCCACCAGGAACTTTGACCTCATGTTAATTGAGAGAATAATGTGTTTTATGATCTCATTAGAACCTTGACATCTGTGTGAGCACTATTTGGTTCACATTTTTCTTACAGAATTCTCCTAGTTTTTTGGGGGGGTGTGGTGGGGCAGTGCTGGGGTTTGAACTCAGGGCCTCCTGCTTGCTAGGTAGGTGCTCTACCTCTTGAGCCACCATGCCCCTGGCCCCCAAGCACGTCCATTATGCTGGGTTTACAGAGATCCTATTACACTGACTTTCATTTTCCTTCAGTGTAACATTTAAAAAATACAGTATGGTGTTGCGCTATATTTAAGAATTTCATCATAACTATCTTCATTTTCACTATTTTAAGAACTTCTCTTTGTCAGGTCACAATTCATTACTCATATGGCCACAATTTCTAAGCAGGAGAAATGAATTTTGTAAATTCATTTTAGGAAATGACAGGAGGATATTCAATTCAATCTGGCTTCTCTGAAAGATTTGGAGTGCTTTTTTCCTGAGACTATTTACTTTACGAAATGTGAATGAGAAATGTGACTTCTGTTTTTAAAGCTATTTCTATTTTCCTTTTTTTCCAATATAATACTCAGATGAAAAATTCTTAGAGCATTTGAGTTTAGATTCTATAAGAATTTTAAATCAGCAACTTTAGTTGCCCTCATTGGATTGACTTAGCTTTTTTAGACAAATTTTTAGTTGCTTGAGTCATAGTCTTTGTATCTTTCAAGTATAAATTTTTCAATAAAATAATTTGAATTGGCTAACATGATCGTTGCCAGCAAGATTTGGGAGAATAAAAGGCAAAATTCAACTTAACTTTGTGGACAACACAGATGCTTTGTTCTTACCTCTACAGCCTTAAAAGCCCAGATGGACCTCAACAGAAGTCAACCCCACTCAACACTTTTCAGAGTTTTTACAATTTTAAAAACGTTTTTGAGATTTTTTTCCTCTCTGGAAGAACAAGGAGCTGCTAGGAGGAACTCTTTTGTGCTTGTTGCAGTTTTCAATATGTACGTATCTGGGTTAGGAGCTCAGATTTGGCTGTTGGGGTAGGGCTGTTTTTAAGCATCTTACAAGGACAGGTTTGGTTAGAATTACCGAGATGAATCGTTTTCTGAACATCAAAGTCATGTTTGCGTATAGTTTTGTGGCTGTTGGGCGTTCTGGAGAGCGTCAAAGCTGTGTCCTGGTCTAGGAACAGTGCGACAGCGCGCTGAGCAGTGTCCCGGGCTCTTGCCGATGCGCCCCCTCTCTCCCCAGATGTAAACAAGCGCTGCTGGCACCAATCCCTGTCTCTGGAGGCACGCTCAGAGCGCATGCTCTTCTGACAGCGGGTCTCTAGCGCCATTTTCGTATGCAGAGGACTGCACACTAATTAGGCGCGTCCTGGCGACCGAGTTGTTCCAACCCCACCCGGAGCCTTGCAGAAAAGTCAAGGGCAGGCTGGAGGACAGCGCTCACCGCCCCCTACAGCGCTGCGGCTGGGGTTACCGAAAGAAAATCTTCTGTGATCGCTCTCCTTGCGCACAAGTGGCACTTTCCCTCCTCCGTCCCAGGCTGGCCCGGTTGTCCCGTGTCGCCCCTTTCCAGATCAGAGCAACATTAAACACGAGCCATTTGTGATGGCTTTGCGCTCACGGTGGCGGCCCAAAGGAGAGGACGCGGAGAACCCGACCGGACAGTGGTTTTACGTGAGAGCAAAGCGCAAGTTACGCTGGGTCCTGTCCTAGCTAGCGCTTCTTCCACGTTGTGTTAGGAAGGGCCGAGGGCGGGGCTCAGTGGCAGAGCCTGCCCAGCAAGCGGGAGGCCCTGAGTTCAAATCCCACTACCGCCAAAATAGAGAAATGAACAAATAAATGAGATGCAGAGCTCTCAGTGATGGTTGAAAGGTTAGCTAGAGGTAAGGCAGGGCATGGAGCAGAGCCAAGGGGTTTTTAGTGTGTGTGCGCAGGTGTGCGCACGGCGCAAGGAGAGTTTAGAAGAATACGGAGAAGTGGGGGGGGGAGAGGGAGAGAGCGAGAGAGGAGGACAGGAGAACAGAGAGGAGAGGAGAGGGAGGAGAGAGAGAGGAGAGAGAAGAAAGGGAGAGAGAGAGAGAGAAGAAGGAGGACAGAGGAGAGGAGAGGGAGGGAGAAGAGGACAGAGAGGAGAGAGAAGAAAGGGGGGGAGAGAGCGAGCGAGAGAGCGAGCGAGAGAGAGAGAGGAGACGAGAGGAGAGAAGGAGAGAGAGGGAGGGAGAGAGAAGAGGACAGAGAGAGGGGAGAGAGAAGAAAGGGGGAGCGAGAGAGCGAATTCTGAAGTGGGAGAGGGCTTCGCGGGTGCACAAAGGCACAGGGGGCCGCGCGTCCTCGGCGACAGCCACCGGGACCCCTCGGTTTCATTCATAAGTTTCCGGCGCCGAGGCCCCGCCCGGCCCGCTGCGTTTCCTGCACAGCAATTGGTGAACCGCAACAAAGCCTTAGCAACGGGCTCTTAGTGACCCGCGGGGCGCCTGGTAACCCCGGGCGCTGCGGGAAGGCGCGGGCTGTCCCTTTAAGGGATGGCCGCGGAGCGGTGAGCGTGGAGGGCCGAGGGCGGGCGGGAGGCCGGTCTGGGGGCGGACCGCGGGGCGGTGGCCGAGGAGGAAGAGTCGCTGCCGAGCGGAGGTGGCGAGCGAGGGGCGGCGCCGCTGCTGCACCGGCGGGCACCGGAGTCCTGCCCGCGGCCGCGCCAGTCGCCACGGGCGCGCTCGGGGCCCGGCGTGTCCTCCATGGTCGCTGTGGGCGCCGGGGAACGACTTCGCCCGGCCGAGAGAGCTGCTCTGCGCCTCCCTGCAGTCGCGGGGTCCGCGGCCGCGCGGCCACAGCCCGGGGCGTGTGCGCCCCGCGCGCAGCGGGCTCGGAGTCCCCACGGAATGTCCCCGGGGCGCCCGGCGCGCTGACCTGCAGCCGCCTCCGCCGCCTCCTGTCGCCCTCGCGCTCGCCCTCGGGCGGACTCCGTGTTGGGGACTGCGAGCTGCCCGGCTCCTGGGCAGTGGGGAAGCCCCCGGGGGCGGGTGAGCTCAGCTGGCCACGACCCAGCCGTCCCCCGTGCGCATCGCGCTTAAGATGGCAGCGGAGACAGGGGAGCTAATCGGGGCTTGCGAGTTCATGAAAGGTGAGGAGCGGCCGCCCCGCTGTCCCTCCACCCTCCCACGTCCCCAACTCTTCACTTCGGGTCCCTTTGTCCCCAGTCCTGCCCTGGCTTCTTCCTCCGGGTCCCCCGTGTCCTGCAGCGGCCGCGTGCGCCCTGCCTTCTCGCCCACTCTCCTGTCTGTGTCCCCCAGGACCCCTGGCTTCCGGCTTCTCTGTCTGGTGTCCCCAGGAATGGGACAGCCTGGGCTGGTGCCCGGGCTCCTCCACTCTGCAGCTCGTGGGGATCCTGTCCGGTCTCTCCTTTCGATCACATTTCCCCTACCCGGGCTGGCCTCGGTTTGGGGGATCCCCCCACCCCTTCCGCACCCACACCCCTCCTGTTTTTCCTCTGGGTGAAGGCTCGAAGCCGCAGGGGGCCATCGCCTCGCTCTTCCCCTTCCGCAGCTGCCGAGGTCCGGGGAACTAGGAACCAAAGTTGCATGTGGACTTTTGTGGGCGCTCCAGCTCCTGACCACAGCCACCCGCCCCAAACAGGGGAGTCGGGGCGCTGTGTCCAACTCCCCACCCCGGTCCCTCAGCCAGGTCCTCCGATCTCCCCTTCTCTGAACTCTTGTGCTCTTGGGTCCCTGTGGCTTTCTCGGGAGATCAGATTTCTCCAAGAATCAATCCCACGTGTTGTGGGGACTTTAAATTGTGGGTCACAGATGTTATTTTTGCTCCTTCGTGTTTTGACAGTGCACTGCACCCCGCTTCTCTACTACTTCTCATATATTTTCTTCTATCTTTTAAACTTGTGTTTCAGATCGATTATATTTTGCTACTTTAAGGAATAGACCAAAAAGCACAGTAAATACTCACTATTTCTCCGTCGATGAGGAGCTGGTCTATGAAAAGTAAGTTTCTATTTTTTTTTTCTTCTAACTATTTACCTTGTTGGCCCTCTGCTGAGGAACCACCGTGCACCTCACTATGCATTTTTATCCGCTTTCCCCCCACAGGACGGGTCACACTACCAATGTTTGGGGGAGAGGTGCAGGGAAAATTAGCAGGATTTGAAGCTGTGTACACCTCAAGCCTTTCAGAGTTCTATGTATGTCAGTTCTTCCTTCTCCCACCACAAACAGCAACTGTGGGTTCCTAATACTCCCAGAGTGGGATCAGGTCATTGCCGGATGCTGTAATTGGCCGGTGAATCAGTTGCCAGGTTTTTCTGGAGCACGCACAGGGTACCGCAGTGCCCCTGTAAGAGGCGCTGGGGTTTTTTACAGGGCACAGGGCTTCTCTTGCAGCTCAGGATGGTTTTGTTTGTGTAGCCTGTTTCCAGAGAGCAGGACACCTGAGCTGCAGGGAGCTGTATGCAAGTCAATCTAGGAGGAAGATTTTGCCTGTGTGATATTTAAATGCCTCAAACTTCATGGCATTATTATTTTTTTTTTTTTGCCTTTGTGTAAGTGGTATAGGAGTGAGGAGTGTTCATTTCCTTTTTTTTTTTTTTTTGGTTTCTTTGCTTCTGTGGAATTAGGATTTGAGAGTACATAATGAGAACAGGGAACTGTTTTCTGTGAAAGACCATTGATCTTGTAGGATGTTTTAGTATTTTAGAAAGAGTAAAACATTAATTGAAGAGAGACCCATCTCCACAGGGAAAGCAGCAGATAGTAGGGAAAAGGAAGGCCAACTTGACTTTCTTTTATGAAAAGGGCTGGTGCACGGGAAGGTTTGCTTTTACAAGCTCAGGGAGAAAGGCAGAGAAGCAGGGATAAACGAGATCCAAATTCAAATTCTAGAGCTGGGTGCACCCTGGCAGATGAACAGAACTTGGCTGATTGCATTTTATTATTATTAATATTATATATATTAATAATAATTACATTAAAAGTATTATTTTAATTTTTTTTGGTGGTACTGGGGTTTGAACTCAGGGCCTCACAATTGCTAGGCAGGTGCTCTGCCACTTGAGCCACTCCACCAGCCCTGTTTTGTGCTGAGCTTTTTCGAGGTAGAGGCTCTAGATCTATTTACCCTGGGCTGGCTTTGAACTGCAATCCTCCTGGTCTCTGCCTCCTAAGTAGCTAGGATTACAGGTGTGAGCCACTGGTGTGTCCTGTTCACATTTAAAAAAAAAAATCATTTAAAAGTGACTGGATCATCTCTTTCAAAACAAAAAGAGCTGGTGTTTCCAAGGAGACTACTGTACTCTCACTTAGAAGTTTAATTTTAATTTCTTGTTATTTTAACTGAATGTGCAGTTGAACGCACATAGTTAAATGAACCCTAAGCTTCCCAGGCCTTATCCTGTTAAAAGGCTATCAATTGACAGTTCTGCTTAAGCGTTTGGAGGTACCACCAGGCCTTCAGAAAGTCAGCATTCTGGACCTCAAGGAACTTTGCTTTTATTTGAGGGAAAGTAACCTTTGTCACTTCATCACAGAGATGCTTGAAACTGATGTCTTCAGGACTGTTTCTTTTAGAGGTGCAGGAGGAAGGTGCTCCTGATGCTTGAGTGGCTGAATAAGAGTGAGAATGAAAGAGCCTTTTGCTGCTGTTCCTGCTGAGGCAAAGAGGTCTGAATCCCTGATCCCTGGTGTCAGATGACCGCTGGGCTCCTAGGCAGCATGGGGCTATGCACAGCTTGCTCCCTGATCCTGGGTACCTGGATGAGGTCACTGTTTATTGAGTGCTTGCTCCATTGTTGGGGTTGTGAGTTTAGGACTTAGGGACCTCTGGAGAGTCTGAGGACAGGGACAGTGTAGATGCCATCATGTTAAAGTCTGTAGTTACTAAGGTGGCAGGGGTTATTAATGTGTCATCAAACAGGCTCCAGTTAATGAGATCTGAGTCTCTTCTCTTGGGATTGCTAGGTGGAACACCCAGCAGAAAATTACAGTTAGCCAACTAAACATAGCACACAATGGCTTTTTGATTCTCCTGTGAACATACGAGGAAAAAATTGCATGTGATTTTAATGTTGGCATTTTAGGATAGGGCTAGTTTTAACTTATATGCTTTTCTTTTTAAATTTTTTCTAGTTTTGAGACAGTCTCACTATGGAGTCCAGGCTGGCCTTGAACTCTTGGTCCTCATGGCTCTGTCTCCTGATGCTGGGATTGCACCATTGCACCCAGCAACTCTATGCCTTGTGTATTTATTCTACTGTATTTCTGGTGTCTTGCAAGGAAACGCTTACCAGAAGGGCCACTTGGTTCATTTTGTGAACGTGAATGTCATTTGAAATGGTCAAGACTCAGCCTGGACAGAGCTTGTCCTCAACTTGAACTTGCTTACCATGCTGCAGGAGTGCTATGGTCCCAATCACCCGCCACTCTATCTTTTTGTTCCCCCAGCATATTACCCTGTGCCTAGTGGTTACAGAGAATGACATGCCGATGGGTGCCCAGGTTCCCTTCAAGGAGCATCAAGGCAATAGGGTGAACCACAGGTCTGCAGTGAGGGGTACAGGAGAGAAAACTGCCCTGGGAAAAGCGTGACCCCTGGGCTAGTTCACAGGAAGATGGGGCACATCTAGTGGAGGGGATCAGAAAAGGCTTGTGGAGGAGTTAAGGTTGTCAAGCAGGGTTGTGTGTGTGTATGTATGTGTGTGTGTGTGTGTGTGTGAGAGAGAGAGAGAGAGAGAGAGAGAGAGAGAGAGAGAGAGAGAGAACAACAGAGATGAGGAGGGAGGCTTAGGACAGGTCCTAAGTGTTTCTGCACTCTGCCTGGTGTGTTTACAGCTCACATGGGGGCATGTGGAATATGAAACTGAGAAGTTGGTTGAGGACAGAGTGAGTGCCAGGCTGAGGGGCCTGCAGTTCCCTTGGTGTTCCATGGGGCTCTCGTGAGCGTTTCGGGGCAGGTGTGTCGTCACTGGATTTGTTAATAGTGGTCAGTATTTCCTGAGCATTTCAGTATATTCAAGTTGCTATATTCTCGGTGTTCTGAAGCTATTAGTTCATTTCTTTTCACAGTCATTCCATGAAGTAGGCCTCATTGTCACCTCTTGTACAGAGATGAGAAGAAGGGACAAAGAGACTTGGTAACTTGCCCACGAGCACAGAAATAAGAAGTAGCAGAGATGGGATTTGAAACCAAATATATACTTGAAACCCAAAATATATTTGGAGGTATACCCTCTCTCAAAAAATTAATATGGTAGCATCATTAAGATTGAAGGAGGAGGAAAGAATCCCCATAGAAATTCTGGGATGTTCAGGGGAAGAAAATGTGCCTAGATTAAGATGGCAGGAATGACATGGACAGAAGGGATCTGAATCCATATGACCAGGTGGTGGGTTGGTGGGGTGCTGAGGAAAAAGAGATAAAGAAGTCACAGTGAGCCTTGGGGCGTCATTATCTGAAACAAGGAAGTTGGGTGGAAGAACTGGCTCTGGTGGGAAGATGAAGCATTCCATCCTGGTCACATTAAATTTAAGGAAGTCACATCATTGTTGAATATGACATAAATGTGCAGTTCTTGAAGTTAGGAGTGTCCCAAGGAAACGGTAAGAATGGTGTAGTTTCTGGGGAAGAAGAGAAGTGTATTTCTCAGGTAGGACCAGGATGAGAGGAGTAAGGGAGGGAGGTGGAAATAAGCAGCCAAAGAGGTAGGAAAACACTGAGGGAGGAAGGGGACAGGACAGGGGCGAGGGGAGAAGGCAGAGGCAGTGGAATCCATTTCTTGGGGTCCACTTCTTGGAAGAAGGGTACAATGAGAGAGATGCGAAGGAGCTGGAAGGACATGAGGTTGTCTGGATTCTGTCCTGTGGATAGAAAGGTCTCTGTCACGTCACAATGTGAGTGTCCCTAAGGGAAGCAGTGTTTGTACACATTGTCACATGGGGCCTCACACAGCACTACGACTGTGTAATTATTTGTTGAATGTTCCGATGAGACGCTGCCTTTCTGGCTAAATTGTCACCTTAGAAACTAGTAAGTGGGCTCTTAAATATTGGGCCGCGTTTACTCTGGGCACAGCTGTGTTTTGCTCAGATGTTTGTTTAGTTACAAAAGGATGATAGTGCTCCAGGATTGAAATGGCAAACCTCTGAGAAGCCAGGGAGAAAATTTAACTAAATGCCTTCATGAGGTGAGGCTTAGAATGAAAGTTTGACTTTCCTGCTTGGTTTTTAAACAGAACTTATCTTATTCCTATAAAGATCTGAGCAGTTTTAATAAAACTTGGATGATAAAGAATCCTACTTCATCCTTGGGTGGTCAGCATTAAAGCCACATGTAGGCTAACACTCTGTGGTACTAAAATGACCCCGTAAGGATGGTGACTTCCAAAGATTTACCTGGATTTGATTAAAATATAAAAAACACACAACTGTCCAGAAAGGCTAATTCTTTGGTATTGGAATTGGACCCTGTAAATCTAAATTAGAGGCTTACTCTTAATATCTTGGCACCCATTTTTTGGCTCAAGAGTTAGCAAAGTCAAGCGTGTATTGTTAGAACCTTTGTGTGCCCCCCTTCTCGTTGGTGGTGGGTGTAGGACTGGGTGTAATACATGGAAAGCCATCTTGCTGTGAAGCATCGGGCATAGATTGGTCTTTGCTTTCAGCCATCTCTGTTTTCATCTCTTCTCTCCTTGGGAAAGGTAATGAAGTTGCAGGTGATAGGTCTTGATGGCTATACTTTGGGCTGAATTTTCAGCAGTTTCTGAAGTGACTCCAAGACATTTCACTACATGTTTTAGCATGTTACAAATGACCTGCCTCAGCTTAATGCCTGTGATTCCAGCACTGGGGAGGCTGAGGCAGGAGGCTCTCCAGTTCAAGTCTGGGCTACATCTCAAGAACCTGTCTTTAAAGAAAACTAACAAAACCAAACAAGGACCAGGCAGCCTCTAATGAGGACCAATTAGTTCAGTGAAAGATTTAAGTAGGTGAATTTT